GTATATATATATATATATGTATATATATATATATATATGTATATATAATACTAAGTAATATATAATATAACGAATCACATGCCAATTTCGAGTTGCAATGAATCCGAATAACTCAATTTGAGCTGATTAATTTTAATTTTGAGCCGAATCGAGCTTATTTCAAGCTGAAGCAGATCCACGTAACTAAATTTAAGCCATCTTGTTTAGATTTCGAGCCCAATCGAGCTCAATTCAATTTTTTTCTTTTTTTTGCCAATTTGAGCCGCACTGAATCTATTTGAATTCGAGCAGACGCGAGTTGGATAATATTTGGAGTCATTTTCTCGACACCCCAATCCTTCTCCAGTGGCAGAACAATAACACCAACCTCTTCCTCCTCCTCCTCCTCCACTGTATGTACCATGGTTAGCGCTCCCTTTCTCCTCTCCTCTTCAGCTTTCTCTATCTCTCCTGTTACAGTCCTTTCCCATTATTGAATTACCCTACCAAGACCATTCTTTTCCCGTACCAGAACTTGATGATTCGAGCTCGGCGTGCACCAATACCTCCATCGTTTGGAACTCGCCGGCCGCCGGCGGAATCCCTGGCCTACCTTCTCAATTACCAAATTCTTACCCGCTTTTACTCTCTCCGGCAGCGATCAAAGAAGACGATGCTTGCTTACTGCCGTTTCCGTAACTCATTTAGTCACCGAAATTTGCTTCCGTTCAGGAGTTTCTCACCGCATCGAGTGAATTCAACACTCATTGAGGATCCCATGCTTTACGACTTCTTGGATTATATGGAACAACTCAAGAATTACGAGAGGATTGGTGTGCCTAAAGACGCTGGAACGGATTCTGATGATGGGTTTGATCTTGGTAGGATGAGGAGATTGCTACAGCGGCTTGGAAACCCTCAATCTCGTTTTAAGGTAACTGAATTTCTCTTTAGTTCAATTTAGTCCCAATTAATTGAAAATTTATGTATAAGTTGTTTCAAAATGTAATATTCAAATTTAACTTCTCAGTCCTCACTAACACACTAGCTTTACTAGGCTGTTCATGTGGCTGGCACCAAGGGAAAAGGATCAACTGCAGCGTTTATATCCAATATTTTGAGAGAAGAGGGTTATCTTGTTGGTTGCTATACAAGGTATTTGATTATCTTTTTCGCTTCAATTGCATTGTAATCCATCTTCCAAGATGAAGAAATGCAAATATAAAATGCTGAAATCATTTGAAAAATTATAGTGATCTTAAATTGATTATAGGTATTAGATATCAATATAGAGAGTGTAATATATTTCATAAATTTAAACAAGAAAAGCACTTGTACAATAATTTATCCAACATATTCAAGAAGAAACTATTAAATCCATCTCATGCAATCATCCATGGAATCATTCGTAGATTGGGACTCTCTGTCCACCGCCTTGGATTGGATATTTAGTTGCATCATCATCTTCATTTTTTTTAACCGACAAAACTGTATTTTTTTTCGCAATTCATTTCTTTTGTATGATTTTGATTCCTTTGTAAATAATGCAAAATTCATTCATGGTTTCTAACATCATAATTTAGTATGAACCATTAATCTATTGTTTGATAGAAATGTTTTTTTTTACCATCAATCAATAAATGGCATGGGTACCATAGCAAATTTGTGGCATATTCATTAATCTTGTCTTTATTTTTTCATCAAGACTCTAATACTATCATTTGAGTTGTTTGGGTGAAAATTTTGAGCAAGCTTACCTATTGATAATAGATGGAATGGAATGATTACATCATGCTGAACCATTTCGTTGTTTTATCATGTAAAAAAATAGGAAAAAAAAATGTAAGCTTTTAAGAATAATAGACTTGCTAATGGGTATAATGATTTACTTAGGGCTTATTTGGGATTACTTTTATTTTTATTTTTCTTTTTTTAATTAGATTTTAAAAACATGTTTGTTTAGTATTTTTTTGCATGTTTTTATTTTTTATTTAAAAAAAACAAATTAACATATATTTTTTTGCATGTTTTTATTTTTTATTAAAAAAAACAAATTAACATATTTTTAAAAATACTCAAAATGTTTAAAAGTTGTTTTGAGTGTTTTTTAAAAATAATTAAATATGTTATACATTACAAAAAATGTTTTATTTCAAATAAAGACATACACAAAACAAAATAAAAATAAAAAATTTAAAACAAAAGTTAAAACTGATCCCAAACGACCCCTTCTATTCTCATTCTAGAAACAACCATACAACCTCTTCCAACTTCTGAACCATTTTTGGATGGTTTGATCTTCCTCTCTAACAAAATTTGAAACTATCATGCATAGAAGTACGACATTCTTTATTATATAAAATTCAAACGGTGTATTTCACTGCTTTCATTTCTTGAATTTATTTATGTTGTCAAATGCTTTTTAAGTTTCATGACGAATATTATGACCTTTCCTTCAACTTGTTTTCCCTCATGGTTATCTTGAATGCTACTATACACTCTTTACATTTATTACTATAATTTGATGGGAAAATTTAAAGACCCACCTTGCTTTGTAGCCCACATCTTTTGACCATTCGAGAACGCATTTCTTTGGGAAGGAGTGGGGACCCTGTTTCAGCGGAATTATTGAGAGATATTTTTTATAAGATTAGGGGGATTATTGATCAATCCACAGAGATGGAAGGTGGAGCTCTAACCCATTTTGAGGTATGTTTTCATTTATGATAGTTGAGAGTATAATTTCTTAGCATTTATTATAACCGTTGATGTGTTTTAATATTTTGTGTTTAATTTGCATTGTAATGTTTATTTATTTATTTTTCTTTTTTGTATGTTCGCATAACTTATCTGCTCATCGTTGACCACTAAAGGACAAACTACTATTTTAAGCTGATTAAATCTATCAATAGGGGATAATTCATGAGTTAATGCACTGTTGTTAATTTAGAAATGTGAAAGTTAGATGAATTTATTTAGTTATTAAGTCTACTCTTTGATATTGCTATATTTTCAATCAAATTTTTTGTCTCATTTATAAATTTAGCTATTTACTTTATGTGCCGTGATTCCTTCTTTGATAGACATAGAACAATGTAGGCATTCTGTCTTCTTTTGACATTGAAGTTTCTATCAGTATTCTAATATTAGCTTATTTTCTAACTTAATAAACTTTATTAATATTAGTTGAGAATACAACAACAACAACAATAATAACATGCCTATATCCCACTTAGTGGGGTCGGCTACATGAATCATTTTTCTTCATTGTATCATATTGAGTGTTATATTTTTATTTAATTTTAATAGATTAAGATTAATTTTTAGTCTTTTTAGGTATACCTTCGCCTTTCTTAACATAAGTTGAATCTAAAACATCTACTCTCCTAACTATATCATCGAATGGTTGACGTTTAATGTGACCAAACCATCTAAGACGACTCTCTCTAATCTTGTCTGCCACTGGAGGTATGCCAGTTATGGATTGAAACGTTTAATGTGAGCAAAATCATATGATTGATTACTGTTGATGTGCATAACTATGGATCACATGAGCCCACCCACGGTCTAGGAAACTATGGGTCTATTATTACATTTGAGGGGAGAAATTATTCTCCGTTAGTTATCTATGATTTCTTCCCAAATCTCTTCCCTTAATTCGTGGAAGAGAGAATTGTTAATCTCTTCCCTTAATTCGTGAAGTCTTTGTTGAAGTACGAATGAAAGAGAGCAGGAAGAAACTCATGATGACAGATAATCCCACTACATTAAATGTTGACAGTTTGGCTTTATACACTCACAAATCATCTTAGGACAACAAATCAAAGAGGAATAGACCGTCGTGCGAACATTGCAAGAAGCTTGGTCATCTGAAGAACTGTTAGAAAATTTATAGAAAGCCAGCGGAATGGAAGCCCAACAAAGTTAAAGGTGATTGAGAAAATCAATCAAAGACACTATCAAAGGAAGACAAATCTCATGAACATAGTCCATTCAACAAGGAACAACTTGATGCTCTCCCAAGGCTTTTGGGATAATATTCTAAGCTTTCTACCAGCCTTCTAGCATATCAAGGTAGTCTTCCATTTGCTCTTGTTTCTCTCAATGGGAAGAATAAGCCTTGGATAGTGGACTCTGGAGGATTTGATCACATGGCAGGTGATATCAATTCTTTTCAAACCTTCCATTCTTGCAAACACTATGGTGTAGTTAGAACCACATATGGTTCCCTCTCATCTTTGGAAGGAAGAGGAAGTTTGAATTTCACAAAGGGTTTTATTATTTAACCTTTGCTTTATTTTCCTAAACTTAACTGCAATTTATTGTCTATTAGTAAACTCACTCGTGAAATAATTTATATTACTAAATTCTACCTTAATTTGTGTGAATTTCAGGTAATGGACTTGTAGAAGGTGACTGATAGTGCTGATAGTTATCATATACTTTATTTGCTTATTAGGACTCTCATTTCAAAAGGACTGTCCTACCATTCACAATCACTCGAGTCAAGTTTTGTATCTGAGTATGTATCTCATTGGAGTCAAGTTATGTTATGACATTTTCGTCTTGAACATTCTAATTTCTATTAGATTAAAAAATTGTACTCTTATTTGTTTATCAACAAAAAATCTAGTTCTTATTAATGTGAAAATTACCAACTTACTAAACTAACTTGACAAGAGTACTCAATTTTGAAATATAAACCAACACATCCCTTCTCCATGGTTCATAATGATATCTGGGGGCCCTTAAAAATAAAAAAAATACAAATGACGTTAGAGAATTTGTTACATTCATTAATGATCACACTAGAACCACTTGGATCTTTCTCATGAAGGAAAATTATAAAACTACAAGCATATTTGAAACCTTCCACTACATGATTTTCACCCAATTTCAGAGCAAAATTCAGATTCTAAAAAATCAATAATGCAAAGACTACTACAGCTCCACTCTCGGCTTTTATTTATAAAAAAATAACATCATCCATATAAGCTCTTGTGTTGATACACTCCAACAAACTAGTGTGGCTGAGAGAAAGAACATATATCTTTTTGAAGTGACCCGTTCAATTATATTCAATAATAATGTATTTAAATACTTCTGGGATGATGCACTTCTCACATTTACTTCTCATAAATAGGATGTCCGACAGAGTGCTAAATTTCTAAAAAACCTATCAACACTCTCTAAAACTCTTCCCCAACATTCAATCTTTCACCTCTAACCTACCACTAAAATTTTTTTGTCGCATCACCTTTGTTCACCTACATGAATCACACTAGACCAAACTTGATCCCAGGTCAATCAAATGCATCTCTATGAGCTACTCTTCAGATAAAAATGGGTATAAACACAACTTTTTAGCGACAAATATTCTACAACTCTATGGATGTCACGTTCGTTGAAAATCAATAAAATTATCCCAAATTTGACATTCAGAGGGAGAGTTGAAGAGAATATCATATTTGGGGCATCATTCAGGAACCTCAAGTTCACCTCTTTTATGTCCTTGATGAACCTACTCTTGTTTCCACTATCATAAATCAAAATGAAAATAAACCTCAAGTTCACCTCTTTTATGTCCCTGATGAACCCACTCTTGTTTCCACTATCATAAATCAATATGAAAATAAACGTACTACACTAAATCCTACCACAACTCCGTGCATATGCCAGAAGAAAAAATCTAGTGAGCATCTAAGGGATAATGTGCACAATCAGAAATGCAAATCACCAGAGTCAGCTCCACACACCTCAAGTATTCATATAAAGGTTGTATTAGCATATCTTAAGAATGAAGAGGCAGGAGCACAAAAATGCACAAAACACCCAGTAGAGGAATTTGTTTCCTATGAAAAATTTGTCCTTTTACAAATTTTTTATTTAGAACTCGGATAATGTGCAGGTCCCAAATTCAATCTAAAAGGCTTTATCTATTCCTACTTGAAAAGAGACTGGAGGAGGAGTTTATTGCCCTTGAAAAGAACGTTATCAGGATCACAAGAACTCTCCACCCAAGAAAAGAATTGTAGCATGAGAATGGGTATTCAATGTTAAATACAAAACAAATGAGAGCATAAAAAGGTTCAAGATTAGATTTATAGCAAAATGGTTCACTTAATCCTATGGGATCTACTATAAGGTGATATTTAAACCAGTGCGAAACTGAACACAGTAAGAGTATTACTGGACATAAAAATATATTTATTAATGGGGACCTTGAGGAATAAGTGTATATGGAGATACCTCTAGGATTAAAGAACAACATAATTGATTAGTTAGTGTGCAAATTAAAGAAATCATTATATGGGTTGAAATAATATTTCAAAGAATAGTTCGAAAGGTTCACTAAGAGTATTTTTGCCAATGAATACTATTAATGCCAGATCGATCACACTTTATTTATGAAATCAAATCAAGAAGATATGATAGTTATCTTTATTATATATATATAACATTATTCTTAAAAGAAATCACATAAGAGAACTTGAAACAATCAAAAGATTAATGACTTCTGATTTTGTGATCAAAGATCTTGTACCTTTATGATACTTCCCGACAATGGAAATAACTAGATCTAAAAAGGCAATGTCATATCCTAGAGAAAATATATCATTGACTTATTATAGGAGACATAAATGTTGGGGTGCAAATTGATAGTTACTCCTATGGATCCTAGTCGACGGACATTAATAGGAGAGGATAACATCTCGATTGAAAAATGGATGTTTCAAAGACTTTTGGGAGAATTTATTTATTTGTCACACACCAAATATGACATTTTTTTTTGTGGGTGTAATGTGCCAACATTTAAATAATCCAAATAAAGATCATTTAGAAGTGATCTTTTGAATCCTAAGTTATCTAAAGATGACTCCATGATGTGGATTGATATTCTAGAAAATTGAGAACCATAACATTTATATCTACACGGATGCTAGCTGGGAAGAAGAACTGACTGACAGAAGATCTGCCACCAGTTATTGTCCATTTGAATGGGGTAACCTGGTTACATGGAGAAGTAAAAAGTAAGTTGTGGTGGCAAGAAGTGCAAAATCTGAGTATCTTGCTATAATTCTAGGAATTTGTTAAGGGTTATGGCTAAAGAAATTATTGGTGGAACTGCACATGGAGAACAAAAACACTATTAAGATGTTTAGTGATAGTCAATTAGCCATCAATATTTCAAAGAATTTGGTACACCATGTTCGAACCAAACATATCGAAATTGGCTTACATCTCATCTCTGTGAAGGTCAATGGAGGGGTTGTCCAACTAGGCTATATCCCAACTCAATATCATTACTGACATTCTTACCAAAGCTCTTTCTCGGCACCACTTTATTGATCTCAACAACAAGTTTGAGAGGTAACCACATGGGCCTACCCACGGTTCAGGAAACCGTGGGTCCTCTACTACATTTGAGGGGGAGAATTTATTCTCTCTTTATTGTCTAATATTGTGTTTTTTATTTCTTTCCTTCTTATCACGTTGAATTGAATTTCCCTCCAATTGTATTAGGGTTAGTTTTACCTGTATATATTTGTTATTTGTTTAGTGAGAAAATAAGAAAGTTCCTCATAAATTCCACAATTAACATTAATATGATCATGAAAGAACATTTGTGCCAAGAATGAAGTAATTGGATTTATGCAAAGAATTGCATAACTACCTTCTAAAATTAAACTTTTTTAAGGAATTTAGTCTCAGATGCTAATTGAAGCATATCTCTTTGCATGTTAAAATAAAAGAAGATTTACATACATACCACTCAATTGTTATCTATTTACATATCTTACACCTAACACACCTAAACTTTAATTTTTATTAATTTTTACAAACACACCACCTTACTTATGCATGAAAAGATGTGTTTCAATTTTTAAAAGTTAAAAGTGGTATTTTTATGTGATACGAATGATTTGAGTGATATAAATGTAAAAAAAATCAAACATTAGGTGTTAGATTTGTAAATACATAGGTATTGGGTCGTATGTATGTAGATGCCCCTAATATAAAGGTAGGCATAAATACAAACTTGATTACAATGAAGAACACAACTTATAAATACTCTTTCATTGGCTTATGAGAGTATAAGAAGAGCTCGCGAAATGATGCTGGTTATTTGGCTGATACAACAAAGCTCCTTGATGTTTGAGGGAATGAGAATGGGAGAAGATACTTGAAAATTATTAAAAAATAATATAGTGAATGAATTTAAATCCCCCTAAAAATAAACCTAATAAAGGACAGACTAATAAATAAATATTTAGCTTTTCTTTGAAAGACACATGTTGCTTAAAGAGAAATATAGTGGAGGAAACAACAATATGATAATCTATGTATACCACATATCCATGTACATGTACTGTCACAAAAGATGAAAAATAGACATTTTTACATGTATGATAAATTTAAATGCATTCTTATGCATATTTATAAAATTATTTGCATGTTTATGCATCTATATGATATCTAGAAGATTTATAAAATGACATATGGTAACAATTGTTAAACAAATCAAATACGGTACTGTTTTTTGATAGACGTTGAATATTAACATGTTAAATAGGTTTTTTTTTTTAACATATATAGAGTTTATTTAATTTTTTCTATATGTTTTGCAAAATGGATGACCGGAAAGCAAAAATTGATGACAAAAGTATGAGGCCATTTGGTTACTTATTAATGATATTAACTTTATTTATTTATTTTTTTTTTGCCAAAAACGCCATTTAAGATTGTGTTGAATTTTCCTCTTTAGATTATTAACTTGCTTCTTTAAAAAAATTGATTAATTAAAAAATTTTCAATTACTAGGATAAAAAGCTAAAACTGAATGGTCTAGATTTTTTCTTGACAAAAGTTTCAAATTGTATTTTAATGTTAGTCCATTAACCTTTTGTTGGTTATCAGCACAGCACTGATCTTGCTTTAATGGAAATATTTTTTGTATATCACATTTTCCTTAGAGAACTAAATGGACAAGGGTGGTTAGTGCAATAGATTTTATGAGATCATAGAGGAAACTAAATTAATCGGTTGGACAAGGTGGTTAGTGCATTAGATGCCAAAAGGGATCATAGAGCCAGTTTTGCTCTGCCATTAATGATCCCATTTCATAGTCTTGGTTTCGTCTTTTCCAAAAGAATTCTCCATCTTTTGATTCTCTCAAGGATTGCGCATTTCCCAAATGATTTAATTCTTTAGTTTTTTTTAACCAGAATCCTTCTGTAGGTTTTCACTGCTTTGGCCTTTGCTTTATTCTCAGAACAGGATGTTGATGCTGCTGTTATTGAAGTAAGTGACTCTGTTCCTATCATATAAAAAACTTCAATAGTTTTCATATGTTTTTTTTTGGAAGATTTATGCGCATACCACTCAATTCCTATGTATTTACATATCTAATGCCTAATCTTTAATTTTTACATATATACCACTTTTCCTATGCATGAAAATATGTATTTCATCTTTTAAAAGTTAAAAAGGGGTATTTTTGATGTGATATGAAGGATTTTGGGTGGTTTGACAGTAAAAAAACAATGTTTAGAAGTTAGATATATAAATACTTAACAATTATGAGGCATATACGTAATTGCCCCTTTTTTTATGAATCAGAGAATTCTTATACTGCCTCTTTTTAATTTCATTCTTAGCTTTAACATGTTATTTCTACTAAAAGCAAGAAATATATTATATATTATATCACTGTATCAGGCAGGCCTGGGAGGAGCAAGAGATGCTACAAATGTGTTATGCAGTACTGGGCTGGCTCTATCTGTGATAACGTCCATAGGTGAAGAGCATTTGTCTGCATTGGGTGGCTCCCTCGAAAGTATTGCAATGGCGAAGTCTGGAATCATAAAGCCTGGACGGCCAGTTGAGCCCTTCTAACTATTCATCTCATTTCCGTTACCCTAATATTATATGGAAGATTTACATACATACCACTCAAATCTTATATATTTACATATCTAAATCTATACTCCAACTTTTACATACATAACACCTTACCTATGCATAAAAAGGTGTATTTCACTTTTTAAAAGTAAAAATGGTGGTATTTCTTATGTGCTTATGTGATATGAAAGATTATAAATGTAGAAAGCAATGTGAAGGTGTTAGATATGTAAATACATAGGAATTGGATGGTATGTATTTAAATGCCCCTTGTTTTTAAAATGCTAGTTCCAAAATATTGCCAAACCCTTTAATTGAGAGATCGTGATTGTGTTCAAAGCACTATAGGTTATTTCATTAATAAAATTTTAGCTTTCAGGCTTTCAGAAAAACCCTCATTTTGATCAAGAAGATGATCTTTTTATATGTTTTGTTTAATTTTGTTTTTTTTTTCTGGTTCTGAAGCAAATGTTTGTCAAAATGCTGCATCTTTTAATGAAAATCCAACATCGCATTCTTCTATTAGTTCCTTCTTTGATGGCCTGTTTTGTGCATGAATTAGTAACACCTTGCAGTTGTAATCATTATTAAACTGTCAAGTATCAAGCACATTTCCATAATCATATTATGAAATGAGGCATTTATATACATACAATCCAATTATATATATTTACATATCTAATACCTTTTATATTTATACCTTCCAAATCTTTCATATCACATAAAAAATACCACTATTTTTTACTTTAAAAAGTAAAATACACCTTTTCATGCATAGGTGTGTGTATATATATATATATATATATATATGTTGTATGCATATGTAAAAATTGAAGTTTTGGTGTTAGATATCTAAATACATAGGAATTGAGTGCCATGTATGTAAATCTTATGAAATTTTTCTATGCGCAACTTCATTTTATGACATGTTCAATTCCCTTTTAGCTATGATAGCAACAGCTTTGGTGAAGACATTAGCAACTTGGTGTATCAGGATATAGCTTAACTGTATTATTCCATCGTTAACTTTGTCAGAGATACAATACCTATCAATTTCAATATGTTTGGTTTTGTCGTGATGCATAGGGTTCTTGGAAATACTTATAGCTGTTTGACTGTCACAAAACATTTGCATAAGACTATTAGAGGTATACGCCAATTCCTCAATAACTTTTGAATGCAGATCCCTTTATAGTTTTCTAAGGCAAGTGCTCTATACTCTGATTTTGCACACTGCTTCTAGCGACAACAACTTGCTTCATATTTCTTCATGTGACCATATTTTTTTTATATATATGAGCTATACCTGTAATGGGCCTTTTGACAGTAAGTTCCCCAAACCAACTTTTATTAATGTAGACTTCTACTATTATTTTTTTTGTTCTCTAAAAAAATAATCCATAACTAGGAGTCTTTTTAAGAAATCTCAGGATCTTGTACACCATCTCCAAATGCTCTTTATTTGAGTTATTTATATGTTGGACACAATACTAACATAGTATGCAATATTTGGTCTAGTATGTGATAGGTAGAGGAGTTTTCCCGTCAATATTTGATATCTTTCATTATCCATAGATGTACCTTCTTCTCCCCTATTAGACTTCTTATTGAGATTCATTGGAGTATCAACATGTTTGCATCCAATCATCATTATCTCCTTTAACAAATCTAAGATGTATTTCCTCCATGCTCAGGAAATATCTCATAGTTCATTAGTCATTAATTTCAAACTCAGTGCCAAACACTTCTTTGGTTTTATGATTTTTTCTTTTACCATCATCAGTAAGGATCATATCTTCCACATATATTATTAGTATAGCAATTTTATCTCTCTGAGTGTGTTTAATGAACAGTGTATGATCAACTTGATCGTGAAAATATTTATTAGATCTCATAGTTTTAGTAAACTTTTCAAACTAAACCCTTGGTGATTGCTTAAGATCACAGAGAGATTTTCTGAGTTTGCATATTAGGTGTTTGTTGAAATTATTCTCAAGTCCTGATGGTATCTCCATGTATGTTTTTTTTTTCAAGATCCCATTAAGGAAGATATTTTTTATGTAAAGTTGATGCAATTTACACTTTTTATTAACTACTAATAAGAGGAGAACTTTGTTAGTGTTCAGTTTGGCAACTGATGCAAATGTTTCCTAATAGTCAATCTCCTAGATTTGAGTGAAATATTTTGCAACCATTCTAGCTTTGAATCTCTTAATATCATTTTCAACTTCGTACTTAATATTGAATGTCCATTTGCATCCATCTGGTCTCTTATCCTAAGAAAGTTTAGTAAGAATCCATGTGTCATTATGCTTTAGTGATTGAATCTTCTTTTCAATTATTTTCCTTCATTCTAGATTTTTAAGAGCTTCATGAATGGATTCAGGAATTTGCAGACCATCTATGCTAGATACAAATGCTTTATAGGATTAGGATAGCTTCCTATAAGCTTTATACTCCTGAATTGGATATTTTGTACAACTTTATTATCATCAGCACACTAGAAGATGAAGGAGATAACTCATGAGTTTTATATTCTTCACCTGAAATTTCAGGTGAGTGTGGACTTAGTTTTTGGCTTGAGCAGTTCTATTTTTGCAAGTTGTCTTCCACCTATTCGAGGTTTTTCTTCCTTATCGTGTAGACACAAAGTTCTTTATTATGAATTTCAGGGTTAGTTGGTTGGACATCCTCAAGTAGGATATTTTCATGCATTAGTATTTTGGAGATAGAAGGGCTAGGTGAAAGAGGGTTAGGTTGTGACGCAGTGTAGGTGTCATTAAGTGAATCCTAGAATTGATGTTCATTTGAACTTTTCCTGTGAACATCATATTTGGAATAGTATGATTGATTTTCAAAAAATATGACATCTATGGAGTTGTGGTATTTTTTGGCAACAAGTGAGTATCACTTATAACTCTTTTTGTTGGAGGTATACCCCAAAAAAATATACTTGATGAATTTAGAGTCAAGTTTTGTATGGTTTAGGGAATGGATATAGAAAAAATATACACACCAAAAAATTTTAAGTGGTGCTGTAGAAGAGAAAACTCTGATGTTGGGATAGTTATCCATCAATATATGAAGTAGTGTTTTGAAATTAAGTTTGGAACTTTTTGAAAAATCATAATTAAACTGGATACATCAAGAAGATGTTCATTATTTATCTCAATTGTCTCATTTTGTAGTGGGGTATCAATACATGAACTCACATGGATGATTCTAATTTTTGAAAGTAGGATCCAATGTGGAGTTGAAATTATCTTTTGCGTTATCTATTTTGAGGATTTGAATTTTACATTGTAATTGAGTTTGCATTATGTCATGTAAGGTTTTTGGAAGATTTGGGTTGTTTTAAATTTCTTCATCATTAGGAATATCCAAGTGGTTCTAGTGTGATCGTAATTGAGTTTGCATTACATTGTAATTGAGTTTCCATTATGTCATGTAAGGTTTTTGGAAGATTTGGGTTGTTTTAAATTTCTCCAAAATTAGGAATATCCAAGTGGTTCTAATGTGATCGTCGATGAATGAACAAACTATCTAGCTCTCCTTAAGGTACTTATTCTTGAAGGTCCCCAAATATTTTTGTGAATAATATAAAAAAGATGTGAGAGTTTGTATTAGGTCATGAGATAAAAATCACTAGTGTGTTTGATAAGCTGACAAATCTCTCTTTGATAAGTACTAAATTTTTATTGATAAACAAATGAGGATACAATTTTGTAACATAATTAAAATTGTGATGGCCCAAATGATAGTGCTATAACATGACTTGTTTTTCTACATACATAGACTAAATGGATTTTAAGACTTGAGAAAAATTTGGAGGTGGGACCACTTATGTGTTTATAGAGACTTTTCTTGAGCATATATAAGTCTTGACGCGTTGTAGGACTGACAATCACCTTTCTCGAACCCATCATCTGAAATTCAAAAGACTTTATAAGGAATTCAATTATATATTTCATATCACGAGTAAGATTACTGATTGAAATTAAATTAAAGTTCAACTGTGGAATGTATAAAATAGAAAAAAGGAGGAATATCCTGATAGAGCTCCATGTCTTATTTTTCAGTAATTTTTTGTATGATCCATTTGCAAGTCTCACAGGTTTAGATCTATAAGTTTATTGATAGTTGACTAGAGCATTGATGTCTCCTGTCATATGATCAGAAACTCCTGAATATATAATCTAAGGTCTAAATCTCTCATTGCTGGCAAGATGGGAGACGGGTTTTCTATTGAGTTTTGTCACGAAACAACCAACATTTGTCTTTGAGGTACTCAATCTTCTTGCAATAGTCACATATGAAACGATTCTTCAAAGAACTTTGAGTCATAGTAAATATTATGGGAGTATAGAGCTGAGCTTTTAACACGGTGAACTCCTTTTTTCTGTCATCATATGCTTCTTTTTGTTCTTCTCTTCTAGCTTCAGCAAAATCTTCACGAATAGATAGAAGAGGCTTTTTTCACATGTTCCTGTTGACCTCATTTTTGGTGGTCTAGTCCTCCTCTTAGGGTTTAGGATCTAGCCTTAGAGATCTCCCTTTGACTATCTTAGAACCTTAGAAATGGGACCCGCCTTCTTGCTACCCAGCAGTTTTTGAAAGCCATTTCACGTTGTCAGACGTTGAATTCCTAACTTGAGTAGGGGAGTTTTGGGATTAAGATATATCTGTGAAGTAAATGCATGCTTACCTATTCTCTGTTACAATGGAAAGATTACGAATTATGTTATACGATCATCTTACATTTATGGGTTTCTCGGACTGATCTAGTGTATCATTTTCTCCTTCTATTTAATCATCTTACATGTTTTATATCGTGATTGTGGGAATATTACATGATTGGCCTAAGATGGATTTTTAGAATTCCTTGGATATGTTAAGCTTTCCTGGAATGATGGTGGCCATTTCTCTTGTTTGCAATTTCTTTTTTTTTTTAGCCATGAAGGAAAGTTTAAAAGCATGCC